TAGCGCCCAGTTGAAGCATTGGAGTTATGCGCCCTTGGAACGAACATGGAACCAGTACCAATCTCTGGCTCATACGTTGTTTTTCCATTGCTCTTAAGATTTGTGTAGCTATAAGGGAATACTTCAACTAAGTTGGATATTCATTCCTTGTGGCTTATAAAGTAGGTTGTATAGAAAAGTCAGTTCTGAAGTCCTTTGTATGGATGATTAGGATACTAATTAAGTTGGAAATTTAGGATATCAACTAAATTACCTAGAAATTGGACAACCGTCTTACGGTTAGGAAGCGTCCTTATATTAAAATAACATAGAACACTTTAGGGGTATGATTTGGGAAAAACCTATTGGGAAGGAAATTCGTAGGTAGACAATTGGTTTTATGAAGTAACAGTAAAATGTAAAGAGTGGTGTTATGCTCACCCCCATGTCTTATCTTCCTACTCACCTTATACTTATACCCACCATAAAAAGTGAAAAACCACTCTTTTTCCCACTCACCATTATTTCCAAAATAACTCCTTTGGTAAAAGATAGTTAAAATTTAAAAAAGGGAATTGTTATTCGCATTCCGAAAAATCTCATTCTACACTCCAAACATTCTATATTTGGAAAGAAATATACATATGTGAGGAGTGTAGAATGAGATTTTTGGAGTGCCAATAACACTTCTCTTAAAAAATAATTATCCTTAAACAAATTACCAAACAACTCCAAATATCACCACCCACAACACCCAGCAGCCCTCCTCGATCGCCAACCATCGCAGCACTACCACGTTTCAAAAACCGCTCTGGTGCCCATCTCTATCATTTACAAAGCTCGATCGAAGCAGATGTATTTACCAAAGCTGCCTTGTTCATTGACTCTAACATTTTTTTACCCTTTTTTTTTCGTTATGACATTTTAGGTTTTTTTGTCAGTATAACTATTAGGGTAAATTACATTTCGTACCTCAGGTTTGGGGCATTTTTCAATTCCTTACAACATCTTCAAAACATTTCACTTTCATTCCTTAAGTACTATTTTATTTCAACATAATACCTCCGTTACATTTTCCATCCATTGATCCGTTAAATGCTGATGTGGCTGCCAAAAAAAAAAATTTAATTTTTTTTTTAAACTTGAATTTTCTCAACAAAAAAAAAAAAAATTGAAACCATCCCATCTCCCCGCAACCACCCCTCACATCCCTAAACCTGCAACAACAACAACAAGAAGCAAGAGGAGGAAAAGGAAAAAAAAAATGCCCAAACCGAGTTCGCCCCTCCACACCCAAAAACCCGCAACCTAGAAGAAGAAGAATAGTGCAACTGCAACTCCCATTCTCCCACCCCAACCACCAACTAGTCCTTGGCATTTGAGTCAAAACGCAGGTCCTCTTTCATCCACCCAGGAAACCCCCACCCTTCATCTCTATCCGAACACCACCCAAAACCACCAAAGACAAAGAAGGGGGAGTGAGACAGAGAGATGAGAGTGAGAAATGGATTTCAATTTCAATTTCAATTCCAACAAAGCGGAGGCGGCTGGTTCGCTGGTGCGCGGCCCGAGGAGGGGGAAGGCAGCTGGGTCGCCACGGGGGGAGGGGGTCGCGCGCCGGCGGTTTCTTCTTCTTCTTCGACTGGGTTTGGGCTGTTTTTTTTTTTTTTTTCCTTCCTTCTTCTTGTTGTTGTAGGTTTAGGGATGTGGAGGGTGGTTGCGGGGAGATGAGATCTATGGGTTTCAAGGTTTTTTTTATTGTTTTTTTTATTTTCCTTCCTTCCTTCTTCTTCTTGTTGTTGTTGCAGGTTTAGAGGTGTGGGGGTGGTTGTGGGGGGATGGGTTTCTTTTTTTTTTTTTTCTTTTTTTTCTTTTTTTTTTTTTGTGTGTGTGTGTTGAGAAAATTCAGGTTTTAAAAAAAAAATTAATTTTTTTTTTAATTTTTTTTTTGCCACATGGCATATATGTGGCAACCACGTCAGTACTTAACGGATCAATGGATGGAAAATGTAACGGATGTATTATTTTGAAATAAAATAGTACTTAAGGTATGAAAGTGAAATGTTTTGAAGATGTTGTAAAGAATTGAAATAGGCCCCAAACCTGATGTATGAAAATGTAATTTACCCTAACTATTATTATGTGGCAGTATATGATTTGTTGGGCTTTAGGTCTTTGAAAGTCATTTTATATAAAGATAAATTTGTCAATAAAATTATTATTTTAAGTGGATGGAGAGATAAGATATTGGGGTCGACTTAGTAGCACTCAATATAAATAAACATAGATAAAAGCACAGACAGTTCAATGCGAGAGAAATTAATGTTAGGACAATCTTTGATTCCCTTAAAAAAAAGAGAAATTTCTGTAAAGTTGCCACACTATGATTGGTGGGTGAGGCCAGATGGCAAAAGAGTGTTGTGTGTGCGGGCAGATGGTAGAGCTGCCATGCTATGGTTGGTGGGTACGTAAGACCAATGCGGAGAACACAATTATGTGTTTTCGAATATGGTCATGTGGTATGGATGCTCGCATTGAATTTTTTTCTCCTAAAGATGGATGAATAATTGTCTATTGTTTTGTATATTCGGTTACGCAATACCTTCTGTTGTGGGGTACTGAACTAAGGCAACTCGCATTGTTGTCCTCCTCACAGCCATATGTGATGTTTGGGTACAAATTGTTTGGGTTGTACATACAGCAAACCTAACTAAATTAAAGCCAAAAATCTAGTTGGAGCCTTTTAGTACCCTGTCTCTAACTGCACTAACCATGCCTATTAATTTGGGGGAATAAGTCAATGAAACAAGAGCATGAGAAGAGCAACTTTTCATCTATGATTTGTTGGGGGGATATTCTGCTCGTCACTGGATGTATACAATTGTGTCTACAACAACAACAAAACATTCTCTCACTAAGTGGGGTCGGCTATATGAATCATCAAAAGTCATTGTTCTCAGTTCTGTGTCATGTCCTCCGTTAAATCCAAGTACTCTAAGGGCTGGTTTGGTATTGCTGTGTTTTGAAAAAAAGCTGCTTCTGCTGTGCTGTGAGAATAAACAGATGTGAAATAAAGCAGCATAATGTTTGGTAAACTTTTTTGTAAAAGTGCTCTTAAAAAAAAACAGTATTATAGTGTTTGGTAAACTTTTATGTAAAATAAATGTGAAAAAAACTGGTTTTTCAAAGCTAGGTTTTGCAGCTTCTTGTTTTTGGCTTTTTTCACCCAAAACTGTGAAAAAAAAACTAAAGCTGAATGTTTACCAAACACAAAAACAGCTCCCAGCTTTTTTTTTATACCAGTTTTTTTCAGAATCACTTCAATACCAAACCAGGCCTAAGTCTTTTCTTAAAGTCTCTTCCAAATTTTTCCTAGGTCTTCCTCTACCCCTTCGGCAATGGTTCTCTGTCCCATAGTCACATCTTCTAATCGGAGCATCAGTAGGCCTCCTTTCATATTTCCTTCAATTTTGACTACTCATACTTTACCTCGGATATCTTCATTCCTAATCTTATCCTTTCTCGTGTGCCCACACATCCAACGAAGCATCCTCATCTCCGCTACACCCATTTTATGTACGTGTTGATGCTTCACCGCCCAACATTCCATGCCATATAGCATTGCCGGCCTTATTGTCGTCCTATAAAATTTTCCCTTGAACTTCAGTGGCATACGACGGTCACACAGTACGCCAGATGCACTCTTCCACTTCATCCATCCATCTTGTATTCTATGGTTGAGGTCTCAATCTAATTCTCCGTTCTTTTGTAAGATAGATCCTAGGTAGCGAAAGCGGTCGCTCTTTGGTACTTCCTGATCTTTGATCCTCACCCCTTACTCATTTTGGCCTCCATTTGCATTGAACTTGCATTCCATATATTCTGTCTTTGATCGGCTTAGGTGAAGACCTTTAGATTCCAACACTTCTCTCGAAAGGTTAAGCTTCGCATTTACCCCTTCTTGAGTTTCATCTATCAACACTATATCATCTGTAAAAAGCATACACCAAGGAATATCATCTTGAATATATCCAGTTAACTCATCCATTACCAATGCAAAAAGGTAAGGTCTTAAGGATCAGCCTTGATGTAACCGTACAGTTGTGGGGAAGCTTTCGATTTGTCCTTCATGAGTTTTTACGGCAGTCTTTGCTCCATCATACATATCCTTTATAGCTTGGATATATGCTACTTATACTCATTTCTTCTCTAAAATCCTCCAAAGAATGTCTTTTGGGACCCTGTCATACGCTTTTTCCAAATCTATAAAGACCATGTATAAATCCTTTTTCCTATCTCTATATCTTTCCATCAATCTTCATAAGAGATAGATCGCTTCCATGGTTGAGCACCCTGGCATGAACCAGAATTGGTTGTCCAAAACCCATGTCTCTTGCCTCAATCTATGCTTAATGATTCTCTCCCAAAGCTTCATTGTATGACTCATTAGCTTAATACCCCTATAGTTCATGCAATTTTGTACGTCACCCTTATTCTTGTAGATAGGCACCAAAGTGCTATTTCGCCACTCAATTGACATCTTCTTCATTTTCAAAATCCTATTGAAAAGGTTTGTGAGCCATGCTATACCCGTCTCTCCCAAGACTTTCCACACTTTGATCGGTATATCATCTGGGCCCACTGCTTTTCTATGCTTCATCTTTTTCAAAGCTACAACCATTTCTTCCTTCCTGATTTAGCGGTAAAAGGAGTAGTTTCTACACTCTTCTGAGTTACTCAACTCCCCCAAAAAAGTACTCCTTTCACGTCCTTCATTGAAAAGATTATGAAAATAACCTCTCCATCTGTCTTTGACCACGTTCTATGTAGCAAGAACATTTCCATCCTCATCCTTGATGCACCTTACTTGGTTTAGGTCCCTTGTCTTCTTTTCCCTTGCTCTAGCTAGTTTATAGATATCCAACTCTCCTTCTTTGGTATCTAGTTGCTTATACATATCGTCGTAAGCCGCTAGCTTAGCTTCTCTCACAGCTTTCTTCGCCTCCTACTTCGCTATTCTATACCTTTCACCATTTCATCGATCTTATCCTTGTATAAGGCTTTACAACATTCCTTCTTAGCCTTCACCTTTGTTTGTACCTCCTCATTCCACCACCAAGATTCCTTTTGGTGTGGAGCAAAGCCCTTGGACTCTCCTAATACCTCTTTTGCTACTTTTCGGATACAACTAGCCATGAAATCCCACCTTTGGCTAGCTTCCCCCTCCCTATCCCACACGCATTGGGTGATTACTTTCTCTTTGAAAATGACTTGTTTTTCTCCTTTTAGATTCCACCATCTAGTCCTTGGGCACTTCCAAGTCTTGTTCTTTTTTCTCTCTCTTTTGATATGTACATTCATCACCAACAAGCAATGTTGATTAGACAAGCTCTCTCCTGGTATAACTTTGCAATCCTTACAAGTAGGGATGTATAACCTTACAAGTAGGGATGTATACAATTGTGTCTATGACTATATAATAAAGTGACAAGGAATATATACAGACACAATGTTGTGTATATCTGGCGACAAAAAAAAGTTTCTTGATTGGTTCGGATTCGGAATCATATCAACATGCTCTATTCCTTAAAGTTCTGGATTTGTGTTACCAACTAACGCATAACAATAGGACACTTTATTCAAAGTTGAGGTGGACTCAAAGAAATTCTTTCTTGCATCCATCTGCAGGAAACTTTATTTAAGGTTATGGTAAAAAACACATAATTAAAGTGACATGATAAGTTCTACAAGCTTATTCAAGAATTTGTAGGAAGAACCACCATTCCTTAAAGAAACGTCTATTTTCTCCTTCAAATCCTTGGCCCTAACCCTCATCACCTCCCCATCAGCATCTACCATCAGTTTCCTGACAGCTCTCTCAATCTCTCCTCTCTCTAACTCGTTGTCTAAATGTAGCCCTACTTTCCATACTTGGCTAACATACCTTGAATGCACCTTCTGATCGCCAAAAGACGGCAGGCATATCATTGGAATCCCTTCGGACAAACTCTCTAGCGTTGAGTTCCAACCACAGTGGCTCCAAAACCCTCCGACCGCACGATGGGACAAAACTTCCCTCTGGGGTGCCCATTTTACAATGTAACCGCGTTCTCCAATAGCTTCTATGAAACCTTGAGGCAATTGCTCAATCCCATCTGAACCACTTACTGAGCCAGGTCTTATCACCCATAAGAAAGGCTGCTTGCTGTTAGCCAATCCCCAAGCCATTTCGGTGAGCTCTTTCTCACTGATGGATGCCACACTTCCCAAGCTTACATAGATAACCGAGTTGTTAGATTGCTTGTCGAGCCACGCAATGCAGCTGGTGTCCACTTCTAGTAAGCTACTAGAAGCTGCTGCTTCAATCTTGTGAGAAGGACCTATGGAAAACATTGGAACTGGGCATTGTTGCTGGATCTGTGCTAGTGATGATTGTTCGAGACAATCAGTGGTGTTCCAAACGATTGCTGAAGCCGTCCTAACATCGCATGCATTAACGACTAGTTCTGAGTACTTTTCGAATGTGTCAAAGTTGGTGGTGGGTAGATCTTTCAACCTAAGGGGATGAAACCCGGGCACCGGACTCAGTGACTGAGAGTCTGCAAAGCCAACGGTGTTGTGTTCTTAGTTATAAGTAAGAAAAACGAATATGTGGGATAGAATAGCTTTTGCAGAATGATAGAAATAGTAACTGTATTCTGATTAGTAAATATATGGCACATACCTGGGAATGGGATGTGACCTTTTGAACGAAGTTGTAGGACAGCAGTACGAGCTAGAAAATTTGTAACGCTGGTAGTTCGTAGCATGATGTTTGGGATGTTTAGATCCTTAGCTACAGCTTTAGTGAAGTACATAAGGTCATCATGGATAACGCATGTGATTTTGTTCTCGGGTTCCTGTTCCTTAACTTGAGCCAAGCGTTGTCGGAAACTCACTTTGCAGTTAGCATTTATAGCCAGCAGAATGGCTACTAAATTCCCAGATGAGATCTCTTCACCAGTCAAGCCATCTTGTATTGGAAAGAAGGTGAAATCCAGGTGGTTTGAAGGGTTAGGGGAGTTGAATTGGGTGTGAATAACAGTGATGGAAAAGCCCTTTGAGTGAAGGAAGGAACCCAGCTGAAGCATTGGACTTATGTGACCTTGTAATGGACATGGGAATAAGACCAACCTGTTACTCTGTGTTTCCTTTTCCATCTCCCTCCTTCCCTCTTTCACTTCTCTCTTGGAGACACGCGCACACACACACACACACACACTAAACGTTACAGTAATTGGAATTCTATATCTTTGATTGCTTCATTGAAACCCTTGGAGCTTTTATAGAGGAGAGTACATACATTAACCCTGGAAATGGCTCTTAACGCTTCTTTAATTTATTTCATAAGAAATGCAGAGAAATTATTTTGCAGGCCATAAACGTGTTTTTGTTGTTGGTGAATAATGTGAGGGCTTGCTAACATCCCCAATGTACCATCCCGGCAGAGAGATTTTTACCGGTACACAGGGTGGTACACCACGTGTCACTATGCAAATGGTGGGATATGTGTGCTAAAATGTTAATAACTTAAAAAATAAAATTTTTCACCATTCTTATTAAAACACGTGGTGTACCATTTGTATTCATGTCACAACTAAAATTTTCTCATCCTAGGATCACAAATGAATTATACGATGCCACGACTTTTAACTTCCTTAAATTATATTAAATTATTGGTACAGAATATCATGATGGTGTACACGAGCTTATATAGGCGATTTTTTTTTTTTTTCAAATTTATTATTATTTAGAGGAGAAAATAATTCAAAATTGTTACATTAGTTTAGAGGAGGGGAAAGTTTTGGATCTTAGGTTGCATGGTTACAAATCTAACACACTATATATCTACTAAAATATTAGACTACGTTCGAATATGTAAGTAGTAAAGTTTCTCACTAATAATATAACAATTTTTTAACATGCACATTTCATACATAATTAGTAGAATTGTCTTTTCTATAGAACTTTCCTTTTGGAGATATGCATGTGATTCCTAGCATTGGTTGGTGGATTTTTTTAACATATTTTAACTTGGAGACATTACGATAAGTTGCTTCATTGCTTGTCCTTGTTGAATTAGTATTCCTTCGATACCTATAGTTTAATACCCTTTTCTGAGCATAAAAAAGTTTAATACCTTAACTTAATTAATTGTTGAACAATTATTCTCAAAAAAATAAAAATAATAATTGTTGAACAATTGTTTTACCTTTTTAAGGAAACATGTGGTTTTTGAAATGGAGAAATGGTGCTTGCTTACACAATGACACCTGGAATGTCTCATTATTTTGTATTTACCATTTTAACTAAAAAAATGCTAAACACCACCAAAAATTAAAATATTATTTCAACAAGCCACCTACATATATATCCAATTTTTTTTTATCCATAAATAACTCAAAATCGTGAAGAGAAGTAATTTCTGAGCTCAATTATAACCATCAGTTAAATCACATCTTTTGCATGAGCCCTGCTTTTCGAGCTCAATTTTGTAACAAAATAGTGATTTTCAATCTCCTTTTTTTTTTCTCTCTTTTTTTTTTTTTTTTTTTGTGAAAAAAGGACCGTAGAAATCAATCTCCTTTCATAAATTCAAGCCCCAAATAATAGCACACACCTTCCTTCCCTAAAATTCCACAAATTTCCTGCCTATTGCAAATGTTGGAGGTCATTTTCTTTCATAAAAAAAAAGGTTAACTTTTAATCTCCTGCATAATTTCTTGTACTTATTATAACTCGTCTCACCGTTTATAATTCTTTTGAAGATAAATGAATCAAATTTTTTTGTATTAAAGATCATATAAATGAGCCGATAATAATAAAAAAAAAATTAACAAGTGATCGTTTTCATTTCTCACTTTCATTTGCGAATTGGCAAAATCATGACCTAAAAAAAATCTGAATTTTGCATGAATCATAATCAGACATAATAAAAATGCGAATGAATTTAATATAATAATGGTTTTCATAAGAACAAATTCACGCGCCAAATTTATGGTCAATCATCTCGGTCAAATGGAATTCGTGCAAAATCATCTTGAGCTGAATAAATTGCATGAAAGATTGGGTTCCTTCTGTCGTTATGCACTGCTCACAGTCAGACCGGGACCATTTTTAACATCTCCACCATTACTCTGCTCACATGCACCTTGCACCTTCATAATTTAATGTTCTTGCGATATTGGTAATGAAAATGAAGCCCAGATGGAATGGTGGGGTGGCAGCTTTCAATTGCTGCAGTAACCCAACTCCAAAAGGGTTTTTAATTAAGGTTTTTAATTATGATAAAGACAGTTAACCCCAGTTCCTGTGCATAATTTTGTACTAGTATACAACATTACAACATTCTCTTCACTGTTCATATATTTTATGCACATTAAGTTTGATAATTTGATATCCGATTATGAAGTCAAGTCTAGCGATATGGGGAAACGAGAACTGATCAATCCCCTTGCTCAATTTTTATGTTAAGGTTATGTACAGTTTAGAATTCGTTGTCCCATCAAAGGTTGTCTTTCAATTTGGCCTCACAAAAGTGAAATCTTGGATATGCAATAAGCGATAATGAAACTACACAAGCATTCCTCATAAAAAAAACATGTTTACAAGTGTTAAAGATGAAAGACCAACAAACTATTGACATTTTCCTATTAATGTATCCATGCATTCCTACACATATATTGCCGACAATAATTGATTTTGACCTTTTCCTAGTGCAATCATCTTGTAATGTTGCTCGATCTATTTGATCTTTAAATTCTGATTTAGATGGGTTAGGTTTAATGTTTCCTTTTTTTTATATTTTAATTTTTTTTTCTTTTAGAGGGGTAAGATTTATGTCTTCCTTCTTTTTTATGTTTTTTTTTTTTAACATTTTTTCTTGTATCATAAGAGGTTAGGTTTATGTTCTTCAAATTAGGTGTAACTTTTTTTTTTTTTTTTTTTTGTTACAAGAAAATTCCCACGTTGATGTTTTTAAAAAATAAAAATAAAAATAAAAAAGAAAGAAATGATAAGTATTCACTGGCGGAGGCACCATGAGACGAGGGTTGCTGGGACCCATCCTGACTTTTAAAAAAATGTATATATATATATATATATTAAGAAATTACGCATCGTTCTTTTGCTTGAAGTCTTGCTTTCCATGTTCCAAATAGAACCCCAGCAGCCCATCTCTCAATTGAATTTAATTAAGAAACAATCTTCTTTGAAGAGTAATCGTTCAGTTTTTGTTATAAAAATTAAGAAACCATCCTCTTTCATAGTGCAACTAGATTGTGGAGCTATTCCCCTTTTCTTTTTGAAACTCCATACATTTTGCCAAAATTCGAAATCTATTCAACAAATAAGTCTCAAATTTCTTTAATTCTCTTTTGTTTTCCTCTATATTTTACAACTTATATGAGAGTTAGAGTTTGTAAAATTTTTATTGAATTCACTGAGTTTAATAATATCAGTGACAAGGTTATATGTGACGACCTGTCCTGAATTATAATATATTTTATCCTCGAGTGTGCTAAAATGACTATTTTACCCTTGTGGGCCTTGTAACGTGGATGTATGTATATAGTTTTCAATCATTTTTCCATCGACGTGAGTAAGTGGTATTCGACGTTATGAGAACGTGGATGCAAATTAAGGCCGAGTCAGGTATGTAGTGGAGATGTTGTAAAGGAATAAAGGAATTGGGTTGGGTTTAATTGCATAAATCCAAAGCATGCAGCCCAATGAGGGCTTGAGGCCATTTGAATATGGCCAACTCGTGGCCACACACACATGCACAAGTGCAACCTGCATCCTCTCTCTCTTTCTCAAATTTTCTTCCCCATCCGTACAACCGAGAGCATTCACCCTCAAACTAAACCAAAACTCTATGGATCAAACTTGGTGTGTCCAGATTCTTACTCTTCTTGAAACCTAGAACATGGTGATACCTTTTGTTAACTGGTTTGACTTCAAAAACCAGAGACTCCATAAGCTTCGACGAGGGGTGTAATTTTCTCCGACGTGATCATGAAGGTTTTAGCTAGTTTTGGGACTTAATAAGGTACTATTCTTGCTCCACTAGCACTTTGGAACAATTTTAGAGCAATTTTGACTTGGAACACTCGGGTTTTAGAACAGTTGGATTTAGGACTCTAAACAAGTGAGAACATGTTCTACTCGTTTAGAGCTTCATTTTCGTATAATTTTCATGAAATTTGGTTGAAAAACGAAAAAGATATCAAGGTTTCAGAATTTTCCAGTTTCCGACAACGTAGACGATGGTCGGCGACGGAATCCGACGAACCACCGGAGAAGACAGAGCATATTCTGTCACCTTTGACGAAATATTCTTAACAGCGTCAGGTATATTTAACGGAATATCTTATTATTTAACGGCATATTCCTTAACGACGTTAGGGTTACCGTCAGTGTGCCAGGCACGTGACTGCGTGTGGCCAGTACGTATGGCCGTGCCTTGGCCGACGCGTGGCGACACGTGGGACGTTGAAAAATTATTCTAAAAATATAAGGATACTCAGGGTGTTGAGTAGTCCACGATAGTATATTCAAACAACCCAATTGAGCAACGTATGAGAAGTTATTTCATAGTAATGGTTATGTGCTTAAAAATAACATTAAAATAGTTATTTCACATATAGGTGAGACGTTTCCAGAGGATGAGCGCAGCCAGGCAAGACTTGGGGGTTACGACCTAGCTACATACCAATGAGTGGGCTTTTGGGTTATATATATATGTCGTATGCATTACATATTAGAATATGCTTTAATACAGCTGTGCATATTACTGCTTGACGTTGTGGACGCTCATGTAAGCTTCAGGTGAGTATATAACGATGGTTGTGATGGTAGTGTGTATGATTATGATGAGTTGCTTTCAGTGATTTATATCCTACACCCTGGTGTTAATGCTCCGCCCGAGGGTAGGGCCTAGCCTTCACGTGATCGTTCACCTTCCACACCATACGCTCACCTTGGATCTAAGGTAGGTGTCAGCCTATCGTACTGACCACATTAGGTGGTTCCGAATCGTAGGTGACTTGAGATACTTTCGCATAACCTTCATGTGATCGTAGCACTTGAGCGTACTTATTTACACCTAGCATGTCGTACAGACCACATAGGTGGTTCTGACTCGTGTGCAGGATTTGATTTGATTGTTGAGTTATAGATTTAGCCGTACTGGTCACATTAGGTGACTCCAGCTGATATGTCACTTTATATTAGTGCAATTCACCTGGCTTACTTATTCATGGTTGAGATGATTGTCATGGCATACACATGGTTTAGTTATTCTCGAGCATAGTTTTCATATATGTTTATAGTATTATTTTCTGTGAAACTTATACGGATTTTAAAGTGAGGGGTTATTACATTTGAAAAGATAAATGGTTTTGAAAGTTTTGTTTTTGCCCACTCACACTTTCTATTTTACACCCCTCCAGTATCTAGATAGAAGTTCGTGTTGGTGGCTCACGAGGACTTCACGGCAATTCTGACAAACATTCACCAGTGTAGGGTTTCTTTTGTGATCCGTATAATTAGTAATTAAACTTCGGGACTGCATTCTGACACCTACGCTCTGGTTATGTGTGTCCTTTACTCTAAACATTTTCACTGGCATTGATATGTTAATCTAGTGTAATTAGTTAGCAAGTTTTTATTTATTCGTATTTTCATATCACATTCACTTCCGCACATGGCTATGTCACCCTCACGTGATTGCCAACATGCCTCGATTGGGGTCGGGGTGTGTCATTATAAGTATGCTAATCAACACTTAAGTAATAATTCAATCATCAACAACCACATCATCTAGTTTACAAAATACAGTTTAAAATTTTAGTTTCCTTAGCATTACCCTAAGTGTAAGTTGTTAATTTATTAGCAGAACTTTGACCGAAGGGCACTAATAAATGAAACACCTTGCACAATGAAATTTTGCATGACGAAACACACATCATCGCACAAAGTCACTTTGAGAGACGAAATTTTGAACTTCGTTGCGCAATGTCTTGCACGACGAAATTTTGCACTGCGAAACAAACATTGTCGCATAAAGTTACTTTGCG